CTTATTTATAACAAAGTTACAGTTAAAGTTACTTTTTTCAGTAACTGTAACTTAACTTTATTCCTTTCTTTCTATCTACCACAGTAACTTAATTTATAGCAAATTCGGTTGAACACATTAGTGCGCACTGATGCATATTAAAGCCGTTACATTGATTAAATCGGAGTATAAAAGTGAAATTAAATATTTTAAATTATAAAATACACGTTTTATCTAATATATATATATATATATATATATATATAGCACAATAAAGTGTGTTGAAAATTTTACGTTTAATCAACACCTATATCTTTATTAAATACATATCTTTATGTCAAATTGTGTATGATAGCTTTAATGTGCACCAAAGCACCCTGTGTCCAATCAAATTTGTTATTAGTTATTTTTTTGGTAACTAATTTAATAATTAGTTTTATGATTATTTTATATATTTCATACTTTTTCTTTAATATGGATTGATCAAACTGAAATCCTCAGTGATTATTTGTTGTGATTAGAATATATCTTCATCTGATAAAATCATCACATCTGCAAATGCCTATATTAAGAATTAAGCTAAAAGTTTTTTAATATGTGTGAATATTTAGTATAATAATTAAAATAAATCAGTAATGTTAAAAATGTATAAAATTCTTGTATTTAAAATAGCAATGCAAAACATTACAATAAATTAACAGAAAGTGACTGAAAAGTAACGATTAGCTACTTTAAATCCTTATAAAATTATGATGATAATTTACGACAGTAACTAGTTATTTTTTAGAGAAAAAACTGCAACTGTAATTATAGTTACTTTTACAAGATAACTTTCCTAATCCAGATATAAGTCTTATAAATATTTTATCATTAAAAGTGTGAAATGTACGAAAATCTGATATTACATTAATTAAAAGTAGCCTATTTCCCCAGCACGTAAAATTTACCTATCAATATAGCAACAACAACTGTATCACTCAATGTCGGTAGCATTCTAGGATTAAATATCTTTCCTCTTATGAATGCCTCTGTGAACGCACATTTATACACGTATGAAACACGACACGAATGATTACGAATAAATGCGATTGCATCGGGACAGTACAGTACGTTATGGCGAACCGTCGATAAAACAATAAGCGCCCATTACAAATTGATCTCGGTATTCGCGGAGGGACAAGCAGCAAATTGAAAATGATCACTGGAGAGACCCATCGAAATCCAAGCTTAACTCGTTCAGTCATCAGTGTTCCTATCGATCTCTAATGTCACTTTTGCTTAACAAGCCATCACTTACACTTTGGAGCCGCGTATTCGTATTCGCTACGTATCAGAAATTAAAAATTCGTATTTTTGTGTCTAAATCATTACCAAAAAAGAAAAGATCTTACAGAGCGCGTGTGTTCTTGAAAAATTAATTTTCGGTTTGCGCGTCGGTCACGGGAAAGTCGTCCGGTAGTCCCGAGTCATTGTACGCTCCCATGATACCCACAAAGGCAAAGTTTCCCCGAGACGAGACTTTAATTAATTGAAGTGATCCCGCACACTTTACCAGAGCGCCGGCAGTTCCCAGCGAGAAATTTCTCTCACTCCGACCTCGGGCTAGCTAACTTGGATAGTTGTTAGTTGCGGTCGGAGGTGGATTCGGTCTGTCTGGCTGACCATTTCCTCCTCTTTCCACTTAGTGTCTTTCACTTTTCTCATTGCATTTTCGGATCAGTCTACATATTGTCTTTCTCTGCCGTGTCCCCATGGCACGGCTTTGTCTTTTCCTTTTCCTATTTATCACGGTTAAATGTCATAGATCGTTTGATTCACTGCTTTATGCATCACTGCTTCATATCTATTTGACTACCAATTTATTATTAAATTAGCCTGATTCAAATTGTTATGACTATTTTTAATTTTACACCAGAAATAATTACCATCACAAATCGTTTATGAACTAAACGAAATGTATAAAAATTTATTGAGCGATCTATTATTATATAGCGATTGACTAGTAAGTTTATATACATACGTTTTTATTGTAAGTCAGTTTTTAAAATATTCATTAAAAAGATGGTTTAATATAAACCGAAACGCATAGACAAATTTGTAATTATTTTAATTTGCATTAACATCGTTGCCTGGCTAATTGATTCTTTTTATTACTTATTTAATTAATTTTTAATTCTCTGACCTCTATTCAGATACTTATATATTTAACTTTGTTTAATAGCGTTTTTATTTAAAATGCGTAGTCAAAAATTATTCTTCGCGCGCGCCGTCTGTTTAAATAATTTTAATAACTTCATATAAATTTCTTTATTTCTTTAACAATATAGTTTTATTATCTATTTGCACTTTTTAAAAGAAATTATCTCTTCACGCTTTTCCATTTCTGATGATTATTTTTATTAGGAGCGATTAACAATATGATACAAGCGTTTCGTTTGTGATCATAATGTATGAGTTTGGAAAGGATTGATACACCAGATCAAACGCAGTTCTCGATTACACTTAATCTAAAATTTTGTAAGAAAAAAAAGTGTTTCATTATGAGCTGCACCACTTGGCTCGAAATTTCATTCCGGATATGGATCACGATCCTAATCATATTTGATTGTTAATTCGGTCCAAGCCAATAGTCGTCGACAGTTGGTGACGAATATCTAATTTACGCCTGGTCGAACGACGAATATCCACGAACCGATCGAAAATAATCGGAGCGTGTAACGTACGTGAAGGAGGGAAGGGAGAATCTGGTTCAACCTCCAAATCGAAACGCTGTTATTTCATCCGCCGCTTTTATAATTAAACCGCCCGAATTTATTCGCTATTCCGTTTTCAATCACGACAGGATTAGTTAGTGTACAGTGGTTGTGTTACTGTCGATATAAAAAAAAAATATCGAAATTTACAGAAAACCAGTTTTTCACCCGATTATCAATGTTCTCTCCTAATATTTGTAACAAATCGCATTCCGTTCCATCTGATTACTCCGCGTCAGGTGATCAAAAACTTGTAACTTATGCATCAGCCGCATTGCATTAGTGCGAGGCACGAGAACGGACACGATGAAGCGGGCCGATCACGCGATCAACATTGTCCGCTTTGTTATCGCGCGAATCGGCTGGCAGCGGGCGACGGAAGTATTAATTTTGCGGTTCGCCGAACGTGAATCGCATAAATGCGTTCACGTACAGCAGCCTGGAAATTGTATGTATTATATATAACTAGTAGCCTATAAATACCTAAGACTAATTATTCTAGAGGCTATGATAGAGAGAATGGCTGAGACTATAAGCCAGCCACGGCGTATCGTTCTAAAAAAAAGAAGAGATTGTTTTAAGTCGGGGACGTGATTCATGATTTGATATTTTTTCTCAACGTCGCGTTCGCTCTTCGAGTTCGCCATTTCAATCATAAAATAGTGACTGTCCAAACAATTTTCTTTGCAAATCTCTGCTTTTCCTCGCGAAACGTACGATATGGTTGACTTAAGAATTTTTCGATAAATGAAAATGACTGGTACTTATGCAACTCGTTATATACTCTAGCCTTTCAATTAAAATCTGCGTAATAACTGCGTTCGAAAGTTTGGTTCGACTCGCTTCGCGACTTCGTACTTTTGTTATTATTTGCGACGAAATAGAAATTGTATAGAGACCGATACGAAGCAAGAAGCGAGTCAATCCGTTATATAAGAAAAATTTCTACGATCGGGGTCAATAATTACGTGGATACAATATTTACAAATGAAAAATGTAAAGATATACATAGTACAAGAGTATATAAATGTATAATATATACTCGGCTCTTACTAGGATTCAAGTAAATGCATGCACTTCAGGGAATTTTAATATATATAAAAGAAATATATATATGTATATGTATAATATATATAATACTTTCGAATAAGAGAGATGCGAAGCAACACTAGGATAAAAGTTACGTACCCTTCGATTTTTTCTTTTTTTTTTAATACTACATTCGCAATACGGTAACGGCACGTGAAAAGAGTACGAAGTATACATCGAAAATAATTTACGCCCCGTATGGAGTGTCTCCAAGGGAGCGAACTTAAAGTTAATGAAAAAACTTTTGCTGCAGTGGCGCTACTGCCGCGCTATTTCTTAGCCGTCGCAGCTTTTCTGAAAAAGACATTCTTAAAAATCTTAATTCTCTCTCGTAAGAGGGCAGAGGGGGTGTGCCTTTCGGACAAGTGGCAGCTGTTTTAAATCCATCGGAGAAATTCAACGTGGGCTGCTTACTCGGAGCAAATGTAGTTCGTGCAGTTTTATTTTTACGGTAATAAAGTCGCACCAGATTATTTCACGATTGCGATTGTACTGTTGCGATTGTCATGTGGATCCTACGAGTCGATGTAAAACTGTTTGTATGGTTGTCGGTTTTTTAACGATTTCGCGTAAACGGTAACTCTTGAAATATTGACAGCCTAGAATCGCGACCGAGCTAACAGAAATCCCGTGGGTTAACCTCATCGATATGTAGCAAATCGCAGCTAAATCACGATGAATTACTTAATATTGTGTAGAGGAATAAAAATTTTTGACATAAAACGTAAATATAACTCATCGTATATTTATTTTCGCGTCTCAACAGTTTCGATTACCGTTATTCTTCGATTATTATAACGTGAGAAGAATTAGATTTTGCTCTCTCTTTTTACGTTGTTATTATCAATTCAAAATTATCTTCGTTCAAATATCTTCACGCAATTAGATCGTCTCAAATATTAAAATACTTTCCGAGTTTTAGAGCGCGAAATTTTGGGAAATCAGACTGTGGATGCGTATTTTTACTCGGCACACTTTATTAACACGATGATTACGAGCGTAGTTAGTACGCGGTTTTTTGTCCGACCATTTCAATTAAGAATTCTATTATGGGAGGGACTGGCCAACCCTCCTCTCGCGCCCGAGACTGAAATGCTCCTAACAAATTTGTTAATCGAAGCTACTGACTTGTCAATACAAAATGAGAGTTTCTACGCAGATGTAACGAGGCCAGATTACCTGTTGTACATGAGGATATCCGGTTTCCAAAGCTTGTTCGGCGTAATTCGAAGATCCTTCACTCCACCGTATTCGGACTCGTTCCACTGGAGATTATAGTCCGTCCACTCCTGCGCAAACACAGAAATGAAAAAATTATAAATTAAAAGATATGAAATAATATTTCGAGCATTCTTTGAACGTAGCGAAATAATTCCATTATAATTCATTTTCCCTAATAACTCGAATACTCTTTTACTTTTTTGTAGAAATATATGAAAGCATTAAGTACTGACAGAATGAATATCCATCTGAGTTTCAACAGAATCATCTAAATTAAGATTTTTATCGTATAATTATTGTCTATATACAGAAAACGTAGAGAGAGACAATCATTGTATAATGGACACTTTATACCATGAGTACTTATATTTAGACGATAAATACGAAAATTGTTGCAATACATATAATAATATGAAATGGATAATCTGAGGTGCTATTAATTCAGATTTAATTACGAGTACAATTTTATATCGTTTAATAAACGCAATGGTTCTTCCGACAGTTTCAACCAATCCCCATTATGAGAAATAAATGTTCATATAATTTTCAATTTTCGTCTTTTTATATGAGTGATATAATTATAAAATCAGTATAGGCGCTTGACATTCGCTTTGACGTTTATATTGTTGCGGCGATCGAACTTAGCACGCAAAACAACTATTGTAGTGAATAATAATAATAATCTATGCTAAAATTTGAAATTGATTCAGAAAACTCCTTTGCGGTTGAAAATTGTTTAATTTAATCTTATATTGCGCATATTACAGAAACATACAGTACAGAATGCATATGAAAAATAAATATATTCTCCAAAAAGAACAAATTAATAAAATAGAATTGGTTTATTTATAGAGAAAAAACTTTTATTTCATATCCTTTGATTTTCGAAATTGTTTAACTACAGAATTTTTACCAAAATGTAATTTTGTCGTACACTTGATGTTACACATAATTTCGATAAAATTTCAAGCGATGATAACGCTTTCCGAACTGCGCATCATCCATTCTCAGTATCCATGATAATAGGGACCGATGGATGTACAGAACCTTTGGCTGCGAATAAATTTGCACGAGTTAATTAATCCCTGTTGTATAAAAGATTAATTATGCGCGTAAATTCTATCCACTGACGAAGTTTGACCAGTTAAGTTAAGCAAAAGAGATCGGAGAAAGAGAGGAAGAGAGAGAGAGAGAGAGAGAAAGAGAGAAGAGGAGAGAGAGAGAGAGAGAGAGAGAGAGTGTGTGTGTGTGTGTGTCAAACATAAATTTTACAGTCATATTTATCAGAGTACTCGTAAATAAACGAAACTCTTCTGAATCGTCAATTCGCGACGGTTTGTCATCCTAAAGCTCTCAGCAGGGAGTGGTGTTATAGTTTAAGCTAAAAGCTACGTTCAACTTTGACGATCAAAGTTTATCACGAAGACTCTCACATCTTATATGTACGATTAGTAATGAGAAATTATTATCCAACGATGTGAGACTCGATAATTTTGCGGAAATTGTAACCGCGAAGAAGTTACGCGTGAATACAATGCGCCACGCGGAATATATATAATTATAAATGGACAAAAGTAATAACAATAACTACACTCAGGATACACTACGGATATCACACAGAAACGAGTAATTTAAATTAGAATTATCACATTTATCGCGGTATAACAGAGTGTAACTCTATATTTCATTTATATCGCGCGCCATATGATAAACCCGTGAGCGTTTTTAATCCAACGTCGCTGCTATTACCTCTGTATAAAGGGTGCGCGGGATTTATGCGAAAAATTATTATGAGAGAAATGGCATTGCGGGTAATGCGGAGAAAGACATTTAAAGGATATATATCTGGCAAACTCAATAAATTATATTTTCCCTGTTTCGCGAGTTATGTTCGTCTGAGAAGAATTCCTTTTGAAAACGATCCTTCGACTCAACCCGGATATTCAACGGAGTCACATACCAGTCGCTAAATATTCATCGTTACAGGCCGCGGAACGGCCGCGAATCAGAAAACTGCAATTCCTCGAGTGCGAAGCTTGCGAATTCGGGGGTAAGCCCCGGGCGCGCGCGACATGCGCGACCTGGTTTCGCGATCGCGACGACGACGATACCGATGACGGCGACGGCGACGGCAGCACGCGGCTTGCATAGGAAACACCGTACCAATGGCAATGGCACGTTTCATAATGTATACTTCAATTTCCGGTCCATGCGCCAAGTTCGCGGCGTTTGCTCATTAGATTACTCGGCTGAATTGCACAAACGAGAAATTCATCGGGTTCGCACAGCAAAGGCAGCCGTCTTCCCCGATGTGCTAAGATTTTCACGATTTTCCGTTTCCGTGCGATAGCCGTCGTTTTTTTACGACACGCACGACTCGAAATCTTCATGTTGTGACTTATGGAAGCGAGACATAATGAAGACCATCCTCGACGATGACATTTCTCGAAGAATAACGTTTCGTCTTGTCAAACGACCGACTGTCGCCGGTGTATTTTATATCCGCTGCATTGTACTGTGCCAACTTTTGCCAAATTGTGTCGAGAGTTGAGATTCTTGATATTATACATGTGAATTGCGCACGCGCACGCGTGTATGAGAATGGAAGAGGAAAGAGCAGAAACTACACATTTTTAAAAATGTCGGTGTGAATTTAACATTCATGCGGTGTCTATATACTCACCATGATGGTGTTAAATTAATACCAACATTAAATATTATCATAATTAAATTAATACCAACACGATGTAAATTTAAAACCTGTGATATTTATATCGATACCATCATGGTGTGGATTTAACATCATGAATCTATGAATTTAAAATCCATGGTGTTAAATCGATTATGTTGGTGTTAATTTAATGCCAATACAGAGAATTATAGTAACATCGCGTGGAGTGAAGTTCATATCGCTATTTTTTACTACGAATTTATGACTATGAATTTTTTAACCATTTGTAATTTAATGACAATATTGTAAAATAACACGCGGGTCATACAAAAACTATTGAAAGTAAGGAGTAACAATTTTTTTATAAATTAAATTTTTGTACAGAAATGAGAAGTAAGTAATGCTGTTTATTTTTGCTGTTTCTTTTATAATATCGATTTGGTAAAAATGTTGCAATTTTTTACGGCGATAACAATAACTAACTGAAAGCTGAGGTTGGAAAAGTCACTTTTTAAAAGCAATTTGTCACCATTACGAGTTATTTATTGAAAAAAGTAACTTATTACTTGCGACGAGTTAAAATAGCATGTAAACGCGTCAATATGTTATAAATGATGAGTTACTTTTTCTTTATTTTTTTACATTACTAAATCGTTATTACAAAAAGTGATGGCAAAATTAACGGCGTCACTTTTTCCTATCCCTGATTTTTTGTTACTGAAAAGTAAAGTGCATTTTTAATTTACAGACTTTTGTTTATCTTTCTACGTCATCTCGATTTTTTTGTATACATTTTTCCGTCATTCTAGAAATTTTGAATATTCCCTTATAGTAGAACTCCGTTTTAGCTATCAAAAGATAGTGACGCATTATTTTGTGGATTGCCTCCATATTATTGCAATTTTGTTTACAATTTCTTTTGCCTTAAATATTTTATCAACTCTTTCTTGTTACGTTCAATTGAGGGTCATATTGACACGATCTATGATTTTAGTCGTCCTCGAACAGTTTCAATTTATTTGGTTTTTCAATAATAAAAATTCTAATGTATAAGAAATTTATTACTTTCGATGTAATTCTTGTATGTATAAAGAATAAACTTTCAAAATACGTTTTTTTTATTCAAAATTTATAATTTTCAAGAACCGAGAAAGAAAGCCACAAAAAAATTGTATGCTTAATAAAAAATAACAACATGTCAATCAGTTATATGTTAAACAGAATTGCTAAACAATTGCTAAAAATGTTACACAATGCAGTGAACATTTTTTATAATAAATTTTTAATAATAATAATAAAAGAAAATTGCATTTTCGATAATTTGGACGAATATTCTAAATATCACTTAAAAATTCGGTATATTAGATACAGAATTGTATAAAATTAAAGCGGATCGTTATGTATACACGTCTATGGATAAAATATGCTAGCATTTGCCACTATTAGTACCGTGTAATAACTGGCAGTAGAATAACATTGATTGAGTATTCAATTAATATGATTTGTACTTTAACATTAAGTTTGCGTAGTAAATGTCGATGCTTGACTCCAATGCGGTATGTTTAACTTTACAGCGGAAGATTTCAAACATTTACTTTTTAATTAATATGCTTCAACGGACGGGCGGTATCTTGATTTTCCAAATGGTAGCGAATTTTATACTTATTTACTTATTTAACATCATATCAAGATAAATACTGTCGTATAAATAATGTTACACACAACGTAGTAATATAGTTTCCAAGTTGGCCGGAAAATCTCTGCGGTAAAAAATACATCGTATTGTTTCATACAGCTAGTTGTACGACGAGTACACTATTACTTAACTTCGCGTGTATTCCCCTGTGTAGTAGGTACCGCAATACTTAACGAGCCATAACTCTCGTGTTTTCCGCCATCCGGGGCGTTAAGCTACTACCTTAATGCTATAATCGAACCCTTTCCACGTCAAAGCGAACGTGAGAGTGATGCAGAAGAAAAAAAATGGGGTCATCGGCCACGAGAGCTACTAACGCAGATAGCTGCTAATAAAAATCGTGTAAGATGTATGAAAAAAAATTGTATCTCTAAATATAAATATATTTTCATTATACGGCTCATGTAAACTAGTTTATTCTTTTGCGCTAAGAGAAATGCAGTCTGAATTCCTTGCCTAAACGAAGTTTATAAGTGAAATGATCCGCGAGGAAACGCCCGAAACTCCGGCGATTAAAAAGGAAAACATGATGATGCTGCAAGTTACTTTCCTCGTCGAATATAACAAAACTTTGAAACCGTATCGGAGGCTAACTGCTATTAAAGTTAGTTCAGATTAAATAAACGATCTCAACATAATAAATGCCGATATAAAATCCACGTCGATTATGGCACGTAGATAAGACGTTTTATACCGTGTAA